CGGACTTGGGCCTCACCCCTCACCTTCAGGATCTACCCATCCAAGCAAAAGCAAAAATAATTCCTTACTCAACCCTGTTGAATTTCTAGTGTTATAAAAATTGCTAGGTTTGATTTTCACTGCAAATAAATAGCATTTTACTGTGTTTAACATGTTTTACAAAATGTGTTAAGTCTAGGACTTGGGAATCACTGATTAACCCTGTTTCTACTAAATATATGGTCCAGTCACTGAAGAACAATTTATATTTTAGGTTTCAGAGCCTGATATACCTGTCAGTAGAGGGTTTCCTATACAATGAAGCAAGTTCATAAGTTAGTGGATTTAGAACAATTTTAACACATTTAAAAGGGAGACAGTGCTCTCTTCCGCAGAATTTTAACTGCCAGTAGTGAGAACCAAGAACATAAAGCTTCTTTTCTCCTGGGTTATTATTTAACTTACTGTCTGGCACAGAATAAAAGCATCTCAAGATCATTTGTTCCTAATAAGCGGGTATTCAATCGGGTTCCAAACAGCAATGAAAGAATCTAACACAATAGCTAGAATGTGAAAGGTTAAATGACACCAGGCAGATTGTTTCCACGCGTCCAGCTGGAGCCCCTAAGCCCCTAAAGGTGGGAAAGGTGCTCAGCAGGGCCTGGTGGAGAGTTTGTCAACCACACACTTTCCCAGTCTGCACTGCAGACCTGGGGACCTGCCACCACACTGCTGGAGGCAGACAGCACATCAGTCTGGATTACAGGCCTAAGGGTGCACTTATTTCAGAAACCTGAAACCCTGGTGCTGAAAGCAGCTTAACTTGGTGGTCATGGGGTGCAGATTCCATAAGGCCCCTACCTGCATTGGAGAAAAGAGCTCCAAAATCAGGAAGGCGTTTTATGTGAAGCAAGAGCCGGTGTAACTTCGGCAAATAAGTCTGTCTTTCAAAGCAAGCCATCTCACAGGTGAGCATTGATGCTCACAGTGCAAACCACCTGCTAATAATAAAGGCAGATACATATGCATGCGTGTGCACAGCTGGACTTTCCAGAAGACTTAAAGGTCTCAGGTACTAAAAATGTTTGTTTCACTCATAAACAAAATTCCAATGTAACAAACAGTTTGTCTTGAAAATAAATATCTGGCTCGGCGCCTATAGCTCAACCGGCTAAGGCGCCAGCCACGTACACCTAAGGTGGCGGGTTCGAATCCCCAGCCCAGACCCGCCAAACAACAATGACGGCTGCAACCAAAAAATAGCCAGGCGTTGTGGCGGGCGCCTGTGGTCCCAGCTACTTGGGAGGCGGAGGCAGGAGACTCGCTTGAGCCCAGGAGTTGGAGGTTGCTGTGAGCTGTAATGCCATGGCACTCTACCCAGGGGGACAGCTTGAGGCTCTGTCTCAAAAAAAAAAAAAAAAAAAAGAAAGAAAATAAATATCTACCCTTAACAAGGAAAGCCCTCAATTTTGTCAAAGCTGTCGTGAGTGTTAAAAACACGATGGAAGGCAAATCCTGTGAGAGAGACAGAGCAGGAATTTTGAAGACAGCAGGACAAAACTGACCTGGGATGCCTGGCTGAGCCGTCAGAAACAGATCACATGGATGACAAAACTAAGCTCTGGACCTACAGAACTTTGAAGAAAAACCCCTCAAATGTGACTTGCAGAAGGTGAGGGAAGGAAAAGCTGTGCCAGTGAGGCTCCCAGCCTGGGAGGCTCGTCCTTAAGGACATTTATGGCCAAGCGAGGCCCCTTCCCTCCTGGCCGGGCCTGCAGAATTTGGCCACATCTTTGTTTAAAGGTTTTTGAATCTGGCCTGGGCTCTACACACTCCTGGGTATCAACCCAGTGGGTTCCTGCTGGGTGGTGGCCAAGGTGTGCCGGCTTCCCCAGCCAAACTCACTCGGGGCTCCAGGGTGCCACCGTGAGGAACTTTCTCAGCTCCCTGCCTGTATTAGCCTGTCCAATCCTCACAACTCTATGAAATGAGCACTACTGTTATCCTTGGATGAGAAAACTGAAGCAAAGGAAAAGTTAAGCCACCTGTCCAAGGCTACATAGCTAAAAAGTGTGCGGGGCGGGTGGTTCACACTCTGGCCGCTGCCTGTAGGATGGGCAGCCTGACCCACACAGCTGCCCTGGCTTCTCTCAGAATGTAAACCAACTACACTTACAGTTCCTACCTCAAACCTCTAGAAAAAAGATAACCTCAGTTCTCAGTTCACCTGTTAAAACTATTTTTAAGATGTTACAAGATACAGATCAAACTACCTTGGGATGTATGAACTCCCTATTGGGGCATGAGCGACCTGACAGTGGGTGAGCAACTGTCCATTTCCTGATACAACTATGTCCACACAGCTGTATCCCTCAGACACCAAACCCGTGACACCACTTTAAGCACACTGTCTTTTTTTTTTTTTTTTTTTAGTTTTTGGCCAGCATATGGGGCCGCTGCCCTAAGCACACTGTCTTAACCTAGAACACAGCCCTCTCACCTATTTGCCGATCTTTTTTTTTTTTTTGAGACAGAGCCTCAAGTTGTCCCCCCTGGGTAGAGTGCTGTGGCATCACAGCTCACAGCAACCTCCAACCTGGGCTCAAGCGAGTCTCCTGCCTCAGCCTCCCAAGTAGCTGGGACCACAGGCACCCGCCACAACGCCCGGCTATTTTTCTGGTTGTAGCCATCGTTGTTTGGTGGGCCTGGGCTGGATTCAAACCTGCCACTTTAGGTGTATGTGGCTGGCACCTTAGCCACTTGAGCCACAGGCCCCAAGATCTTCTTTACCACAAATACCTATAACAAGATTTTCCAAGGACTTCTTTATCCTTTGGCAGCCCTCACGTATCAGAAGCTGGAAAGCTTCCTTTGTCCCAGGAATGCCAACTTCATGAACACTGGAAGGCAACAGGGTACATTTATTCATGTTTATAAAATAAGTCACATAAGGAAATCACAAGGAAATACAAATATTCAATCCAAGATTTTTTTTCCTCTAGGAAAGGAAATATAATTTGGTCCTACATAATGGAAGATAACCAAATTATAAGAAAACAGATCACGACTGTTTCTGGAAAAAGTCAAATTTGTTTAATACCATAGGCATGACTTCGAAATCATGGAAATGAATGGTTTTTACATGTGACAAAAGTGAAAAAGCCAGATGAAAACACTACAAAAACAAACAAAAAAGAATGTGAAATGAGAAAACAAAAATAATAGTATCTCATAACTTGCCTTTCAGGGACGTTATCAAATTAAGTGTATGCTGGAAAAGGTCATTAATGAATATTTATCCCTTAGTTTTGAGAAAAAAATTGATGTCATAAATATAATAACACAGCAAAAGGGAATTAAAGATGTAAACCACACACAGATCTATGTAACATAAAACAGCCCAAGGCCTGGAGGAAATAAGTTAGTGAAAGCACCAAAATGAGACAGGTCTGCTCCTCTAGGATGGGCAGTCAGGACCTGGGTGGGAAGGGGAGGCCCACCAGGGCGTGTGGGTCCACAGGGACAGAGAAGAGGAAATGCTGTCCTCTCCTTTCCAGACGGCACTTTCACAGTGTTAGAGGTGGAAGAGAACTGATCAACTAGAAAAATAGTGAGTGCATTTTAAGAAAATGTTAGTTCCATCCTCCCTTTTCCCATTTATCTTTGAGGAAACCAAGGGACCCGCACTTACTGCACAATACTGCTGATAGCAGAAAGCTCCTGCCCAGCCAAGCATGTCCCTTACCAATCTGGTTACCTACAGTGACCGCTGGATCCTCTACACACTACACATTACAGGAAAGGAACACAGGTGCTCCTGATGTTACACTATGAACCTTAGGGGGTGGCAGGTAACCCTCCCCACCCAGAACCACAGGGCTGCACCGAGAGCAGGCTGACCTCCAGAAACCAATCAAGGTGCATGAAAACTCCCTGGACCCTCTGAGTGTTTGAGCTACTGAGTAAATTCAGGGGCAAAACACTGACTTGGCATTCCCTTGGATAAAGAGAAACACATCTTAGGCTCTCCTGTTTAAAGAGAGCTCATGAATATCAAAGTCCACAGAGGGTAAAACCTACACCAGGAAAAGATAGATCCCATCATGCGCCCTCTTCAAGCATCAAACTTCTCAAACCTGCCCCAACCTCGGACAGGCTGCCAAGATGAACAAGGAAGCCTGTGTCACAGACAGTGCGAGGAAACACTATCCTCAGGACAGTTTTCTTTCTCTTCTACACACACACACACACACACACACCCCTGTTTTTATACCTAAGGCCAGAATACTGACACTGACAGGGGAGTATGCACTATCCCCTCCTCTGATGCGAAACAAAACCATTTTTCCCCTGCAAATACTCCCTCCTGATCTCTCCACTGGTCATTAAGAAAGGAGTGGAGTCCCGAGGAACCCAAGAACACCCCAGACTTCTCATCTGATTGGTTATTTTCAGGGGAAAAAAAATCCAAACTTCATTTGTGAATCCTCCAGTTATGTTTAAAACACAAAAGAAAATCACCGGCATTTGCTAGACGTATGACAGGTCCTCCCAATCTCCTAATCCTCTTGAAGACACAACTATGCGAAGTCGCAAGTGGACAGTCCTCCCCAATCCCCGGCCCTGCGCTGAGGCTCAGCAGGCGCTGCTCCATGGGACACCATGGTCTGCGGGGTAGCTCGAATCCAGCCCCCTAACCCTAATCCCTGCCTTGGGCCTCGGAGGAAAATCAGAGAACGCGAGCTGGAAGGGTGACATGGGATGGCTGTGGATGGAGAGCAGGTGGGGACCTGGGGCAGGGGCCAGCGTGGGGCCAGGACCCTGTCCAAAGCCCAAGGGTGCAAACTCCGAGTGGCCCCGTCCTGGCATCGTGCTCATCCCCAGGAAGCAGACAGTGTCATGAGGCCGCCAGAGCCCTCGAGGAACCCTGAGGTTCAGCCGGCAACAGGGTAGGGGGGCCGCGGGGCCGGCCCGCGTCTGGTCCCAGGGCCCGAGCCCGCCCGGGTCCCAGCCGCACTCACGTATCTGTGCACGAGCGTCCGCACGAGGCTGCAGTCCATGGCTCCCGGCCGCGCCCGCTCCGACGCTCAGCGCCCCCGCGCCCGGCTCAGTGCGCCCATCGGCTCGCGGGCTCGCGTGCGGCCACGCCCCCCGCTCAGGTCAGGGCCGGGACGCGCCGGGAGGTGCGGGGGGCGACCAGGGCCCCGCCGCGCTCATGCCCGCCTGGCCCGGCGGCAGATGGAACTGGCCCCACTCGCGGCTGCCCGCTCGCTGGCTGCTCGGCGCCTGGTCCCGTCGGACTGCCGGGTCGCCTCCGAGAAGCGCACCGGCCCGCGGCAGAGCCTGCGCGCTCTCCCTGAGAGTCTCCGCCTCCCGGCCCGCGCCCCTCCGGAGCCGGCCTCTGGGCCCCGCCGCCGCTCTGGGCACGCACGTCACCGGCGCTGTGAGCATGCGCCCCGGCTGCAGCCCCCGCCCCGGGCACCGCCGCCCGCACCCGCGCGCGCGCGCCCGCCCTGCCCGGAACGCCGACCCTAGGGGCGGGGGCGGAGGCCGAGGCCGAGACCGTGGGGAGCGCTCCTGTTGCTTCCGCCTCATGGGCAGGGCGCGGGGACTGGGCGCCCCGCTCTGGGGCGACCCGGGCGGGGGAGAACGTAAGTCACTGCCCCACGGAAGCCTCGGCCGGGGGTCCCGGTGCCTCCCTCTCGGGCGCTGGTCCGAAAACTTTTATCCTACACCCGGAAGTCCGGGCGGCGCGAGTGAGATGGGGGAGGGGTAGGAGGTGGCCGTGGGGCCTTGGGGCGGAGAGCTGGGTCCGGCGGAGTGAGGGACCCGCTAAGCTGGTCTAGATCACCCTCCAGTCGTGACTGTCGCCCGCTGCGCGGCCGTAGAGCCTGCCGTGCTGGAGGAGGGACAACAGGGACGCTCCTCAGGTGGTAGGGACAGGGTCTCCCCACTTGGAACCCTTACTCCCTCTGAAACCCCGCGGTGCCCTGGGCCTTTGTTCCCTGAGCTGCGACAGTGGAAGACAGTTAGCCAGGCAGCTGGTGAACCTGTTACCCCTGCCCTGGCCCCAGACCCCTCCACCTCCAGAAGGCCCAGTCCAGCCCCGCAGGTGCGCAGCCCGCCCAGGAAGAGGGCACTGCTCTGCTGCTGGCTTTGAACTGGAACCATAGGCGACATCAGTTCTCAGTCCTGGGAATATTTTTTTCCTAAGTGACACTGGCAGCCAGTTAAACAAACTCTCCCCTCTGGCTCCGCAGCAGCCTTGACTTGGGGTTAGGGTTAGGTTTAGGAACTCTGCCCCTAACCTCCCTTCCTGAGAGCACAGACAAAGGGAGGTGAAGTCAAAGGCGTAAGACCGCGTATCAGCTGCCTGTCTGGTGGTGGGACTGCGGTCTAGTTAGACGGGGCTCGTTGGCAGTGGTGGGCACTGGTTACCCCACAAGTGAATAGTAATAGTGACTAAGCAGCAGGATGCTTCTGGTCGAGGTGGCTAACTCACTGATTTTCCATCCCAGTCTACTTTCCGAGCTCCTCTGTCCTGCTCTCTGCTCCAGAGGCTGACTGTCACCACATCCTCACTGGCAGGGGCACCAGCCACAGAGTGGGGTCTGCAGAGGCTGGGGCGCTTCTCTCTGTCTTCTTCCTGGCCTCCCCAGAGCCCAGCAGGGCTGGGGGCCTCTTAGTGGTGGGCACTTTGCCATGGCATTGATCCCCAGGGCTCATAAGGCATCACAGTGGGGTAAGTCTCCACTGTTGGCTGGTTCCCAAGTGGTGGCCACCTGGGATGGCTCTGAATCATGAACACACTGCAGTCCCTTGATCTGACTTTCTCCCAGATCCCCTCCCAAGAATGCCTTGTCTTTCCTGCCAGGGACCTGATCACTGGAGCCAGGTTTTTTTTTTTTTTTTTT